CCCCCCCCCCCCCCCGATTTGATTTTTTGTGTGGATTTTTTAGCTGTCGTTTTATTTTTGAGGAACATTAGACAGTTGATTGATGATTGATGTATTTTGAAGAGGTTGTTGTAAGAGAACATTGCAGATTAATGCAATTTATACACAATATATGGATTGGACATGTATTAGTATTACCCAAGTGTTTTTTTTTTTTTTTTGGAAAAAAATACAGTTTTCGTCCCTCACGTTTTCAATGATTTTACATTCGGCCCCCTCTTGTTCACAAAAGCACATTTGGACCCTCATGTAGTCATGTTTCAAAAATTTAATACTTTTAGTTCTTTCTGTCAATTTTCCTTTTATAACTAACGGAATCAAGTGTGTGCCCATCAAAGCCTTAAGTGATAGAGTAACGATAAATTGACGGAATTGACCAAAAACATTAAATTATTGAAACATGAGGGACTAAATGTGTTTTTTTGTGAACATGGGGGACCAAATGTTAAATCGTTGCAAAGTGAGGGCTGAAATTTGTAATTTTCCCTTTTTTTTTTTCTAATTATGAAAAATCAATTGTGTAGAAAAATAAGAAGTAAAATTAAATGAAAATTCGTTGTGTTGATGTTTTGTTATTGTTTAGATCCATCTTCACTAATATCAAATTATAAATTTAAATAATAAATCTAAAATTCGCACCATTTTGTAGGCTGTTGCTGTAATGTTTTTTTGACATGTCGCAAACATCATCGTACAGTTTGGAACACATTAGGCTGTGATGCGCACAATTCAAATTTTTTTTTTTGTCATAATTAGTTGGAGATGCAAACTTTTAACTAATTTTCGAATCGAAATAAAATATTTCCGTTTTAATTCCTCCCGTAATCTTGTGCATCGGCCTCGGTCAATATTAGTCAAGTCTATGACGCTGGCAAAATATTACTCCCTCCTTCCCATTTTATTTGTCGTTTTGTGCTCATGCACACATATTAAGAAAATCAATAAATGTGCATGGATTCTACAAAAATCATAATAAAATGACTAAAAAACCACTCTTATTTATTGCTCTATCATTAATTCTTTTAATAGTAGTAAGGGTAAATTTGAGAAAACACAATAAATGTGCCATTGAAATTGTAAAGTGACAATTATTTTGAAATAAAAAAATATCTCTAGAAAGACAAATAAAATGGGAAGGAGGGAGTAGTCTTTTATTTCATTTTTAATATTGGGAAAATATAGCTATGAATTGATTGAAATATACTATGAACTTGATATTTAACAACAATAATAACAATAGTTAAAATATCATCTACATCGAATTAATTAGGTATTGGTCTATATATATAACCCTGTATGAAATTAAATTCTCTGAATAGTCTAGTCTCTCTTTTTAATTTTGTCTCATTGAGTTCGGCATATTTTATAATATAAAAACTGAAAATTTAGATTAATGGGCAGAGTAATATATTCTCTCAGTAATATTGATTAATAAAGAAAAAGATGTATTTTAATTATTCTATAATTTTATATGCAAGATTTGCAATAAGCCTAAGCCACACATGTGAAATAATTCAACTTTATTTGATATTTAATTATGTCGGCCCCAAATTATTTTTGGAATATAATTAACGACCCTTTATCATGGTTTATTGCAAATTGGACCCTTTCAATCCAGCCATTATCAGTTGGGCTTCCATATTTTACGGTTCAAATTTAACGGAATCTTCTAGATTATGTGAAATATATTTTCTAGTTTGTATCAGTTTTAATCCATTCAAACTTCATATTTTAAAACAAGATGATCATAAAATATGTTTCTTGACTTGTAATATCATATTGTGGTGCATCTCAAACTGTTTTATTTTCTTCATAAAACAAGTATAAATTAGATAATATTTCACGAAATCTAGAAGAGGCTGATTGTAATTACACAAAAAGAAGGGGTTTTTTCCGTAATTTAGCATTACTTCGGGGAGGTGGCTGTAATTACCTCAAAATTAATCATAAACCCTAAAAGTGATTTTAATTTTAAGTTATGCTATAAATCTTATCTTATTTTACTGATATAGGTCTTATAGATACTACATTGAATATGAAATATACCAGCTAGATAACATATCTGATTTCTTGATAATTAATTATTATTACAACGACAAGCACTTGATTCCTACCATTATTATATATTTAAGACAGTTTTAAAGAAATTAGCCAATCGAGAAAAATGAAATCCAAAAATTCCTAACATTGTCCAAGTCTTTTACACTATAAATACCACCCAATTGCTCTCATTTCAATTCATCATCACAAAAATATATTATATATAATATATATATTAATATTGAAAATAATAATATTAATATATATATTAATAATATAGCTATGGCAATCTCTAAGTTCTTGCTTGCATGCCTCATCTCTGCTTTCCTCTTTATTTCCATGATTCAAGCTCATGGAAAGGTATTTATATATATATATATATATATATATATATATATATATATATATATATATATATATATATATATATATATATATATATATATATATATATATATACAAATTTATATATTCCACACTCTTTTTTTTCATATATATATAGAATAATTCTTTAATTAATTTGATCAATGTTCTTCATTGGCAGATCTTCATACCAATGGGATTGCTGATATGAAAATTGGTTAGATTTAACTTTATTTGCATTGTTGCTCATCCAATTTAGAGTGACCGACCTAAATCGTTTTTTCTATGATATATCCCGTAACGTGTATATATATAAATATATATATATTTCACACACATTCACGTATATATGTGTGTGATTATATTCAGTGTATTTGATCAGGCATACACCTAATTCCACTCCAATATAATGTTTCATAGCAAAATTCCAAATAATTTTTTTGAATATATTCTAGTTTTAATTTATACTTTTTAAGTTTGAATTTTTTGTTTTAATAATTAATTATTGATTTATACGTATAGATTGTGGCGCAGAATGTTCTAGAAGGTGTTCTCTATCGTCAAGACCAAATCTATGCCATAGGGCTTGCGGCACGTGTTGTGCCAGATGTAACTGTGTGCCACCTGGCACTGCCGGCAACGACGAGGTTTGCCCCTGCTGGGCCAACCAGACTACTCACGGTGGCCAGAAAAAATGCCCCTGATTAAAAATTATATCTTAATTATTTGCCCCTAAATATTATATATGTTGTATTTAGGGTTTAATGTTTTTGAATTTACACATTTGGTGTTTAATTTGTTTTCAGATTCTATGTCATGAATGGTAAAATATACCATGTGTATCAATTATCATTTAATTAATATTTACAATCATCCATATTAATATTTTTAGATGAATCATATTTTTTAACCAATACATATTTCATCAATTTATTAGAATCAAATTTTGTGATTTTCTAATTATAACATTCCGAAGAAGGCATCAGTAGGGGTGTAAATCGGACCGATCGGATCAGAGTTAGGACTTACGAAAAAATTTGAAAATCGGAATTTCAGAAATTGGAATGAAAAAACTTGTTTTGAAATCGAAAAATTTCGAATCAAAATCGACAGAATTCGGAAATTTCAAATTTTTATCACCTAAAATATAAATACATAAAAATATTAGTACACTGAGTGAAATATTACGGGAAAACAATCATTTTTTTTGGAATTCAAATCGTATCGGAAATCAAAATTACAAATAATTTTAAAATTGGAAGTTGGAAGCGGAATTCGGATTGAAAAATATTACTCCGAAATCGGAAAATTTCATATCGGAATCGACGAAAATCATAAATTCCACTCTAATTTTCACCCCTAACAGCCTCCACCAACTGCAATAATTTTTTTTTCTTTTTTTTTTGTGCACAATTAGAGGAATAAATTAAAATTGGAGTTAAATCATGAATATTTTTAAGAAATGGGTGAAATAGCATGGTCACGTGCCTCCACACGTGTTGTTTCAATCCAAACTAACTCCAAAATCAAATGGGGGATGAAAAGTTAAAAAACTCCGATTACTTGAGGACCAATTTTGTGGAAGAAAATATTTAAGGATCAAAATCAAAAATGTGTATAATATAGGGACCAAATTGTAGTTGTCCCCGTGAGTAAATTATTTCCAATAAGAGTATTATTGCTTTGTGATTAGCGCCAGATTTTGACATTAATTTGAATAATTTGACTTAGATGTTTTTCCTATTTGATGTTGTTTTTTCAGACACTATTTTAATATTTTATGGTGTAAATCTTATCACAATACGGTTCATATATATTGCAATATTGACTGGATTCCTTCAATTAGTGTTTTTAATAAGATTTTTAATAAATTAACAAATCAAGAAGAAAAAAATCTACAAATTTATATAATTAATTAATTAAATCAACAAGTCTTTTACCCTATAAATACCACCTATATTTTCTCATTTCATCACAACAAAAACAAATAAAAAATAATAATTGCATTTATAATTAAAACTATAGCCATGGCAATCTCCAAGTGCTTTTTAGCTTGTCTCATTTCTTCTTTCCTCTTTATTTCCATGATTCAAGCACATGCAAAGGTATATTTGTATATACTTTGTACATATGTACACAAATTTATAAGTATTGATTAATATATAAATATAAATAGATATATTGAATAATTATTTTTGTTGTCAATCTTCTCCATTTGCAGATCATCAATACTAATGGGATTGGAGAGCATGCTCTTGGTGATTTCAAAATAGGTACTAAAACACCCTGTTTGTTTTATGCTATACTCGATAAATTTAACTACGATTATATCACTTCGATATAATACTTCGATTGAATGATTAATATGCCCATAATTTTTGGTATAAACTCCGATACATACCTACATATATATAAATATTTATCAATGGATCTTGATTCGAATGTCAGCATTTTAATTAAAATTGTTGATTTAAAAAATACAGATTGTGGAGCGGAATGTTCTAGAAGGTGTGCTCTATCATCAAGGCCAAACTTATGCCACAGAGCTTGCGGCACGTGCTGTGCTAGGTGCAACTGCGTGCCACCTGGCACTGCCGGCAACGACGAGGTCTGCCCCTGCTGGGCCAACCAGACTACTCACGGCGGCAGAAAAAAGTGCCCTTGATTAATCAATAATCCTAATCTTAATTAATTACTGATTTATTTCCCCCAAATATTAAATGTTGAATTTACGGTATTTTATTCTTGTATTAATGATGTTATCGGCCAAATTGTCTCTTCAAATGATATAAATAAATATCTAATTAATTTTATGCGCTATTATTTATTAGTTATTAATACAATCGATTTCCTTAATTAATTTTATTTAGTTTTGCAGATTATCTGTTTCTTTAATGCCTTTTATATTTCGATTACTCGAACTAAAACATGGTTTTTCTAAAGCATGGTTTTTCTAATCTTACATGAGGTTCAGGGTAAGAAAAATAATCCCAAAAACACCGAAAAAAAACACTACTAAAAACAGAATTCAGCTGAATCCCGACATCTAAAAAGTTCGGTATTCAGAAAGAAACTAATTACCGGCATCCGCTTCATTTGCCCGTGCAAGCTCGTCCTCTTGAGCCAGCTCAGCCTCTTCTTTCTCCTTCATTTTTTCTTTTCGTTCCACATATCTCGTAGGTGGTTAGGGTAGGTTTGGGCTGGGTGGTTAGGGAAGTTGGGGGTGCTGCTTCATAAAAGTTTGGAGACTATTTTTTTATATTAAATTTGTATTTATTTATTGTTTATTTCATATTTTTATGTCCATTAACAAAGAACCGTGCGGCCTTAGTTCATTCTCGCCCCTCGCGATAGCTAAGTCAACCTCTCCCGCGTGAAGTCAGCCTCTCTCCCAAATATGTTTCGAATACTTAAGTGATGGAAAAACGAAAGAAGAACTTAAGAAGACAAGAGAGTAAGAAGACAAGAGAGTAAGAAGGTACTTTAGTGCTTGTTGGAGTTCATAGATTTGTTGGATTTGTTGGATGATTTCAAATGAGGACTCTACCTCTATTTATATAAGACCACCTCCTCAATGGATGGTGGAGATCGATATGATCTAATGGTTGGGAGTGGAACACTCCAAAGAATCCCTAAAATGTCTCTACCTACCACCACCTACCTCTACCTATACCTTTATGCATTTGGGCCAACTTGGGCTTAACCCTATTTGGGCTAAGTCTTGGTCTTCCTAACCTCCCCAACCCAATGGAAACTGGTAAGGAGTTGGGTCAAAACTAGCGGGTCGTGACATCCTCCCGCCTAATGCGGCGACGTCCTCGTTGCCTCGAACAAGTGGAGACGATCTTGAAATTGCCACAAGTCTTCCTTCGTCTCCCATGTTGCCTCAGACTCGGGTAATCCCTTCTATTTGATGAGGTATTGAATACTCGGTGGAACTCCCCTACGTCGCTTCAACAGCACCCCCAACTTCCCTAACCACCCACCCCAAACCTACCCTAACCACCTACGAGATATGTCGAACGAAAAAATGAAGGAGAAAGAAGAGGCTGAGCTGGCTCAAGAGGACGAGCTTGCACGGGCAAATGGAGCGGATGCCGGTAATTAGTTTCTTTCTGAATACCGAACTTTTTAGATGTCGGGATTCAGCTGAATTCTGTTTCTAGTCGTTTTTTTTCAGTGTTTTTGGGATTATTTTTCTTACCCTGAACAAATATTTTTCGTAATTACATACTGGAGAATATTCAACGTGATCTAGAAGATTCCACTAAATTTAATATCTCGAGAGTGGACGTATAAAAAGATTCTTAGTTGAATGAGTGGTTGTAATTACAAAAACATAAGGTTTTTTTCTTTTTCGTGACCTTACCTCGGTGAATCCCCGTAATCTACTTTAGATTAATTATTTCTACTTTTCTTTTTTTTTTTTGTTAAATCTAATTACCCCTAATATCTCACTGGTACTATTCCCCGGCGCAATCTTCGAAATCCTCCTCCACACCGGCAGAAACACTGCGGTTTATCCAAATACCATTTAATAACCCCGTTTTGTGCAAATAACGGGGTAGCGTTTTTAACTTCCACTTTTTTAATAACCCCGTTTTGTGCAAATAACCAGATTCCGTTTTATAACCGTTTTGTATCGGGTATAATAAATTCTTAAATTGAGGTGAAATGTGGAGTTATTACTTATTAGTATTAGTATTACTGAATCTTGGACTTCGTCTTTTTATGTATTTTCTTATTTCCTTATAATAATAATATTTTAGTTGTCCAAATTGGAAGAATCGAATGAAAATTAGCATTTTTGAAAAAAAGTCTATTCTCTTATTAAAATTAATTTTGAAAAAAAATGTTTTTGGAAGAAATTGAATAAGAAAAATGGGAATTGAATTTCGGAATTCAGATTCAGAATCCGATTTGAAATTTCCTATTGTGATTTTTGAAATTTCTATTTCCCATATATCGGATTTGGTACAAACCTTTTTTTAACTTCGGTTACTTTTTTTCTTTTTTCTTTGTTTTGTTAATCTTAGAGAATTATTTTTATCTTGACATGAATTTCAAAGATTTAATCATGCAATAATATCCAAGGTGATTTGGAATGCTAATGGATGCCACGCTAATTATTACTCGTGAATTTTTAGGCTAATATTAATAGGGAAAATTGTAATTTTGGTCTCTTTGGAGATTTAGTCCTATAAGTTGTTCTATTTCAATTTCACATGCAATAATTATAGGAAATTAGTTTTTTTTTTTCACTCGAACTTTGAATTTTAGCTATCGTTTAATGATGTACCTAAGAAACTCGCATAAATTTATTTATATGGACACTTAATAATTATAAATGTTCATCTAATTTTGTTTATAGATGTGTCGTTTCACATAATTAAAGTTATACCAATGATAACTTAGATGTCGAATTAATAAAATTTTCAAGCGTCCATATAAGGAAAATGCGTTATAAAATAAAAAAAAAACATGCAAAATAGAACTAAAAATACTCTAATGGAAAATTTATTGCATGTAAAACTGAAACGTGACATGTTAAATGACTAAATTTCTAAATAGACAAAAACTATAATTTTCCCATATTAATATTACCATCATATATTTAGCTTCCACGTGATTACTTGCACAGTTTTTCGGCACCAAAAGTAACACAAAATGAGGAGGATTAGACGTAATAAAGAAAGCGAGAGACTGATGCTTCAAGTTTTCATGGTGAATGTTGGAACGAAATTTCCAATTCCACCTATTTCGATTCAAAAAGTTTTGATATTTTTTCCGATTTATTTTGGATTATATTGGAATTGGAATTATCTAAAAAATATTTGGAATTTCCAATTTGCGAAATTATCCAGATATTCCGATTTATTTTCCGAAAAATACACAAATAATATATATATATATATATATATATATATATATATATATATATATATATATATATATATATATATATATATATATATATATATATATATATATATATAGTCTCTATGTCTATCTATCTATATCTATATATATATATATATATATATATATCATATATATATATATATATATATATATATATATATATATATATATATATAAATAATTTTTGAATATCTCTTCTCTATCTTTGTC